CAACCCGCAACTCGTTTATAACCCAACCCGTTTAACTTGTCACCCGAGTTGACCCGACTCGCTCGTTTGCCAGGTCTACCTGGAATTATAATGAAATGCCGGGGCTTGATCCAACCTTGGTAGCACATTCTTTGAATGTTGATCCTAGTATAAAGCCAATTGAGCAGCCAAATCGCGCCTTCCATCCAGAGGTTACTCTGAAAATTAAAGAAAAGGTTGAGAAGCTCTTGGTTGTAGGATTCATCAAACTAACAAAGAAGCCGACTTGGCTAGCCAATATTGTACCAGTTCGAAAGAAGAATGGGCAAATTAGGTGCTATGTTGACTTTTGCGGCCTCAATAAGACCTGCCCCAAAGATGAATTCTCTGTCCCAAACATGGACGTATTGATGGACAATACTGCTAGTTACAAGATGTACTCTCTCATGGATGGCAGTAGCGGGTATAACCAAGTCAGTATGTGCCCCAGTGATGCAGAGAAAATTGCTTTTCGCACCCCTATTGATAATTTTTACTATGTTGTTATGTCTTTTGGACTCAAAAATACTGGGACTACTTATCAAAGAATCATGGTCGTAATCTTTCATGATTTCATCCACATATATATTGAAGACTACATTGATAACATTGCGGTGAAGTCCAAAACAAGACTGGGCCACTTCATTGTGTTAAGGAAAGTCTTCGACAGATGCCGTCTATATAAGCTAAAAATGAATCTAGCGAAGAGTGCATTTGGTGTTTCTGCTAGGAAATTCCTGGGATTCCTCATGAGTAAACACGGTATCAGTGTAGATCCGGCCAAATTTGAAGCTATATGAGCCATGCAGCCACCTAAGAACCTCAAACAGCTACGAAGCTTCGTCGACAAGGTCTCGTATATTCGTAGATTCATCCCTTCGTTGGTAGAAATACTATCTGCATTTAGCCTTTTGCTGAAGAAAGGAGCTGCTTTCGTGTGGACGGCGGAGCAACATGCCTTCTTGCATCTATAGGATCTCATGCTTAGATTGCCGACCATATCTGTCCCCATCCAAGGCAGACCACTTAAAGTCTATTTGTCCACTTTTGACAAAGTTGTGAGTGCATTGGTTGCCTAAGAAGGCAAGAAACAACTAGTTTATTATGTCAGTCGAAACCTCAAGGGCACCGAATCAAGGTACCCTTTTGTTGAGAAAATCTGCCCTGCATTAATTTATGTATCTTAGCATCTTCGACATTATTTCTTGGCTCATAAGATACAACTTATCACGAAGTCTCAACCCATTCGATACCTTCTAACACGGCCCATGCATATTGGCCGTCTCACTAATTGGCACCTTCAATTGTCTCAATATGATATCACATGCATGAATCCCACTGCCATAAAGGGGGCAAGCTGTTGCAAATTTATTGTCTAAATTTTCTGGCGAAGTCTAGTATCCTATTTCCAATGAAGTCCCAGGTGGTGAGGTTGCTACTACACAGGAAATTGAGGAAGAATAGATATTATATTTCGATGGTTCTTCCGCGGCTTAAAGGGCTAGGGTTGGTGTAATTCTTAGAAATGACAAAGGCCATGATATGGTATTTTCATCTAAGCTTGATTTTCAATGCACAAATAACACCGCAGGGTACGAAGCTTATCTTATTAGGCTCAATATGGCTAAAGAGGCTGGTGTGCAACGTTTAAAAATCATCGGCAATTCAGGTTTGATCCTTGGTCAAGTTCAAGGTACCTTCATTTTTTTCGAGAAGAACACCTTGAGCCATATCGTTCTTTCAACCAACACCTGGAGCAATCTTTCGCCAGCATAAGATATGAGCAGATACCACGGATGGAGAACCGATTGGCTGATGCCTTGGCCACAATTGCTTTAAGAGTGCCTATGGCCGAGAGTCCCTTTAGCATCCAAATTGTTCAAAGAGAGTGATCTATCTATCACAGCTATGAATCTGTTTTGCTTGAGCTACCTGACCATGTTGATTGACGGTATGAGATTTATAATGCCCTACTACAGCAAAACTTTAGCATGCCTATGAAAGACCTATCTATTATGTTATTATTTCCCATGAGCTATACTATTGCCTCTCTAATGGAATCTTGGCCAGGTGCATCATCGATAAGGAGGCTTATCACAAACTTAGGGAAATTCATGATCACACATGTGGTCATGATAGCCGTGTGAGCCTCCACCGCTGAATCTAGCGAGTAGGGTATTATTAGCCAGATATGGCTCGATAGTCTACTAAATTCCAACAACGTGTATCTTGTCAACAAGCTTACTATCAAAACAAAGAATGCTTCTCTACTAATGGTGTTTAAGATTGGCGCCATCCTTACATGGAATACTTTGTTGAGGGAATATGGTTAGACTCTTTGAAGGATGCACACAATCTAAAAGGATCATTGTCAAAATTTTTCATGGATGGTGGAGTTTTGTTTCGTACTAGCTTTATCGGCAAGCCACTTCGTTGCCTATCATTAACAGAATCTCAGAAAGTCATGACTAAGATACATGCACGAAAATGCGACGAGCATCAAGGGCGGAGAAAGCTATATTAGCAACTTTTAACTCATGGTTATTATTGGCCAGGCATGAAGCAAGATGTTGCAGATTTGGTTCGACGATGTCACACTTGCCAAGTTCATGCTAGTCTTATCCATTCCCATCTTCATTGGTTGTAAGATATGAGGCCTCCTTGGCCTTTTCATACTTGGGGCTTGGATCTCATCGGTACCATTCACTCTTCATTTGAGGGTTACATTTGGATATTGGTGGCCACCAAATATTTCACCAAATGGGTGGAGGCTGTCCTTCTTCACAAGGCTATGGGCCTAGCAGTGTCAAACTTTATCAAGGAACACATAATCTACCATTTTGGGATCCCATACAAAATTGTGAGTGACAATGGAACTCCTTTTGTTAATCAACATGTGCAAAGATTGTTGGACACTTATGTGATCAAGCATCGAAAGTCCACCCCCTATTACCCCCAAGGAAGTGGTCAAGCAGAGGCAACTAACAAAAGTTTGCTAAGAATTCTGAGCAAAATGGTCTATGAGTACGAAGGAGGGTGGAGCATTCATTTGCAAGATACTCTTTAGGCGCATTAAACATCATCCAAGACTGCTACAGGTTTTTCACCTTATTTTCTAGGATATGGTTGCTATGCAGTCTTTCTCGATGAAGTCTTAATGCCAACTGCACACATCTTGGTTGCATTCGAGCTGGGTAACGATGTTGACATTTGTGATTAGAGGCAAATTGAAGACTTGGAGTCTGTCAAAGCATTTCGTCAAATTGCACAAGAAAAGGCTCAGAAATACTGAGCCAAGATGAGAAATGCCTACAATCGTGTAGTCAAGGCTAAAGTTTTCACAATTGGATAGATGGTCCTTAAGGCCTCAGACCATGTAAGGAAAAACATTGTTGGACCATCCAAGTTCACTACCAATTGGGATAGTCCCTTCGTCGTCACAGAAGCACATGATAGCGGATATTATTGCCTTAAAACTCACAAGGGAGAACCGCTATTGAATCCTGTTCTCTTGTCTTAGCCAAGGACTTCTCTATTTCTTCAATATGCTTCACCTGCTCCCTGAGTCGCCCATTCAAGCCCTCGTCCATGTCACCTTCGACCGTGCCAAACTTGTTCTTCCCAAGATATGCCTTTGCCAAATTTGATAAATGAGTGCAAAGGGCATCAACTTCGAAGTTAATACTCTCAACATCGCCAAAGGCATCCCTACATAGATAGAAGAAATCCTCATCCATTTCAACAAAGGTAGTTACCTCCATATGTCGCATAATCACACAAAGGATTAGGAAGGCATCCTCAATGACCACCTTTTGGGCCTTGCTGCGTGTTGTGAGGTTTGGAAAAATGTCTAACAGGTGGCGCACCCATGGTTCCAACATTGTAGGCACTATAAACCTACCCACTGCTCGTGAGCCACCCAGGGGCAACAAGCCAAACTGAGCCAGTGAGACATCCTTACCCTCATTCATCTTGTCGAGACTCTTGAGTAGTCTCATGGTCGAATTGTCGACCTCACTTAACTTAGCTAAGGCCGCGGACTGTTGACCACCATGCTTGGTTTCACCAGGGCCAGCCATTTTCTTCGCTGAACTCATGGTCAACATGCTAGTATCCATTTTGCCTTTACTAGAGACAGATTTCTTTGTAGCATCGCCCACATCCAATTCGAATTCTTTTGGGGTGGCCCTATTCATGTCAATGTTGCCTTAAAAGCCTGCAACTTTGCCTCCCTATTTGGAACCATTCCCATTCTCAGATAAGGCATCGTCTCTACTAGACTTATGGATGTTGCTCTCACTAGAATCAAAGTTGATTACCTCAGTGACCTTTCCCTTTTCTTTGCTAACAGCTACTGCAACCTTCGCCTCGCTCTTCTCAACACCTGACAGAGTGAATGAAAGCGCAATTGATCAACAAAGAAATATGTTGTTCAACTAAGCAAAGTGTTGAAATTCAAACTATATCATTGAATGGCTTCAAGTACCTTTCTCACCGTTGGCGACACCAATTTTCCTCACTGGTATAAACCCCTCGAAAACCAATTCGAAGTCACTAGCCCTGAAAAGAGGTAGTTTGCTAATGGGACGTGGCTAGGCACAAGGAGAGAAAAGTTAACGACATTCAACTTAGCAATTATCAAGAGTGATTCTCAAATTTTATGATGATACAAGGGCTCATACCTTCAACACCGTCACTTTTGGCTGATTCTTCGTTGTTTTAAGCTTTTTTGTCATGCTAGGGGTGCCATATGAGACCTTCACACCTCCCTCAGTCTACAGCAGAATAGAAAGAGGGCTTAACAAGCACATTTCGGCCTTTCTTAAAATAAAGGACGAGTCTAAACGGCTTATCATAGTAGGCTTTTGTGGCGAAACTTCGTTGGCTTTAACCTTCTTCGCTGACTCGGTTGTGAAGGATGCAGGATCACTCTAATCAATGATAGTCAACAACATTAAATATGTCGTCGGGAAACGAAGGCTCACCTATTTCACTGGCCAAAATTTTTTGGCGAACTTTAGGGTTCGTCAAGGCTTCCTCCATATTCACTGCCAAGGTTTCCACCCACTTAGCCTCTTCGCTTTAGATGGAACTTTATCGTCACCAAGAATGGGGATTGGACTAAAGCCTTCGATGGAAGCTGCCGACTACTCATACAAACATTAAGTCACATGTCAAAGGATTTTTGGTGAGGTCAACAACGACCAAAGGGGCAGATAGACGAAAGGCCAAGCAATATGCTTACCTGGAACAAAGCGCTTAAATCATAATACTTCTCACCCATGCGCCTACCGTCACGAATGGATCTCAATCTCTTGATCTGCTCAATCACTTCAAGATCTGGTGTCACACCCCAGAACCCAAATCTGAGAACGTGGCAAACGCTGTGCACTCGTGAGACGGGTCCCACAAGTGCACAAAGCTCGGAACTTATTCAAATCACAAAATCTCAAGAATAAAATCTACCTTACAAAAGGATGATAAAATCTAAAACTTATACCCAATTAGAATGGCTAGCCTTCTACCTCGTCACTCCCCTTGGTTTCCCCGTCCTCGGTTTCGCTTCCTGAAATGGTGGACAAGGAAAACTATGAGATAAAATATCTCAGTAAGTAAAATATGGATAGCCCTTGGTAAAATTTAAGCATGCCAGATAAACCATGTAAGCATAACAAAACTTTCAGTGATAAACCATTCATGCATAGTAAAATTCCTCAATAATCTCATCTATAAGTCATGACCAGTGTTTAACAAACTCCCACTGACAGGTGTCAATAGTGGTACCAGTGTTTAACAATTCCCACTGGCAGGCGTTAGTAATAACCAATATTTAACCCCATTGGCAGGGTTACAGAAGTACCAGTGTTTAACAAACTCCCACTGGCAGGCGTCAGTAATGGTACCAGTGTTTAACAACTCCCACTGGCAGACGTCAATAATAACCAATGTTTAACCCCATTGGCAAGATGAACCGGTTCTCCAGAAATACATGTCGACATGTGCTAGCATTTGCAAACTCCCACTAGCGGGCGTCAGTAATCATGACTATATCAGAGACAAAACCATGCAGAATTTACAGAAAATCCATAATTCACCATTAATCTCAATTTCAAGAATAAATCGAAAAATTTCATGTGGGCATGCTCAACTCCAGAAAAACAATGAAATTCTCATTTTCATTCCAATCTTGCTCAATTCCAGAAAATAATAATTTTCATAAAAATCATCACAATTTTCATTTCAGTTTAATCACACTCAGTTGCTGATAAAATCAATTTAAACCTTGCCACCATCTCAAAAACAATTTAAAACATGCTTTAAAATCGAAGGGCTTTACTACCATAATTTACTTACTTCACTCGCATAAGACGGAAAACCCATGTTCAACTTATGCTTATCAACACCTCACACATAATAAATCTGCAAAACCACCACCACCATTATCAACACACTAATTGCCGCTGCTTCCTTCCTGTTCACATTACACCCACACATCTATCACCATCCATGAACCAAACCAAAGCCTCATTGTTCCCTCCCAATTGGAACACGAGATTCCTAGGGAAAAGAACATAACATTCAACAAACAATCAATTTACAAATTCAAGCATCTCCTAGAACAACCATCACCCCCATCAATGCCATATTTATTTCCTTATTATTATTTTTATTTCCAAGATTTGAGCACAAAATTAGATTATGCATATATATCTATATATGCTCACAAACACCTATACAAAATTTTCCCACTCCCACGGACAAAGGAAATGGAAAGAAAAAAAAACCGAGCAACAGGGCTTTTTATTCAAAATTTATCTTGGCAAAACAGTGGCTAAAGCACACGGGACTTTCTACTCCAATAATTGAAATTACATGTATGAACAGTATGCGTGAACAGTAACTGCAATTTCTAGAATTTGGCAAGGAGCAGAAATTTGCAGTAAATGGCAAGAAATTTGGGGGAAAACAATGCAAAAAAATAGCAAGGAAAAATGCTGCAAAATGCAGAATTTTTCTGGAGAAAATACAGAGTTTTCTGGTAAAAAAAAACAGTGCAGGAAAATGCAAGATGTTTCTGCGTGAATAATGAAAACAGCAGCAACTTGCAGAAAAATGCAGCAGCAAGTGCAGAAAACGTAGCAACCAGTTTGCAAAAAAATTTGCAGAAAATGCAGAAAATGCAGCAGCAAATTGCAAGATTTCCTGCGTGAATAGTGATTCCCGAACAGTACCAGTAAATAGTGATTCGTAAAACAGAAAATTTTCATGGCAAAACAGCAGCTAAGACACGAGATTTTCATATATAACCTCACAGCAACAAATCAAGCTAATTTCTCTACCTAAACCAAGCTTAAAACATAACTTAATGCTGCCGAAATTCTCCCACTTACAGCAGAAGGATTCGGACAGTGCAGGGGCAGCAACTAAGTGATAAAAATTTCAACAGGGGTAGCAATTAAGTGGGTAAAATTTAGACTTGGAGAGCTGTCTATACCAGAATTTTCCAGCAAGCAGGAATCGGGTCCGGCGGGTAAGGAAGCTGACGGAAAATTGGAGGGGAAGTCACGGCTACCGAAAATTTGAAAGAAACAAAATTAAAGTGAACCCAAGCCAAATTAAAGCTGAAAAGATGAATTCATGGCTGCTTCTTACCAGGAATTTGGAAAATTTCACACCCACAAACCGACAAGAGCAGCGGATGGAGGACACAGAGCAGAGCAAATCCGAAAATTCCTCGGCTTTAGAGGGAGTTCTAGGCCCTAAATCTTGTTCTTGAACAAGAAAAGAGGAGAAAAATAGCAAGCTTTTGCCAATTCCTCAAGAGAGGACGGTCGGCAGCTTGGGGGGGTCTTGTCGGGGAGCAAAGAAGAAGAGCAGGTCGCGGGCCTGATGAGGAAGAAAAGAAAGAAAGAAAAAAAGAAAAAGAAAAAGCAGCTGATCCTTATCTCATTTCTTTTCTTTTAAGTCCCTCAACTTTAGAGTTTTTAGCTATTAGGCCCCAAAACAATATTTCTCCCAAAATAAGTCCCCTAACTTAATTGATAAATTTCCCAAAAATTTGGGATATTACATCTGGATCCCCCCAAGAACTCTCATTGTTTTCATTGTCACAACTTATATCTTTGTCCTTAGCAGTTTTGGCCTCGGAGGGTGTGGGCACTTTAGCCTTACTTGGCTTGCTGGCTGGTGAAGCGGAAGTTCTATGTGCTCTGCTCGTATGCGGATGGGCAACACTCTTTCTTTTACCCAAAACCGACCTCCTGGGAGGGGTGACTTCATCGGCTCCTTCTACAATGTTATGATAAAGGTGCAAGAACATTAAGTATTCTATAGCACTAGTCTAATCTAGTTAAGTTGCTAAATAAAAGAAGAACCAAAGCTTAAGGTAAGAGCAAAAGAGTATGCCTACCTACAGCCCTAACGCTGCCAGCTGCCTCTTGCCCAAATTCTTCGCTAATGGCGCTAGGTTGGTCATACTCCTCCTTTGCCATGCCAAGAATGGGAGGGCAGACGGGTACTCACGTCCCTTATCCTCCCTGATCAAAAACCCTCAAAAGTGTTTGTGGCAATAACTCAAGAAAGAATTACTGTGGATAAAAAGACGTTCATAATCTCAGGAAGCAGGGTCATATTCCACCACTTTTGACAAGGATTAAATGAAGGCTGCAAACTTCTTCAGCAATGTGTCCCAATATTCCAACATCAGTGGTCACATAATTGACATTTTAACGACGTTGAAAAACCTGTGTGGCAGTGCCCCCACTCCACATGGCCGTGGCAGTTTCATCAACATAAGGCGGCATGGCCTTATTCCAATCTGTCTTGTTCGATGAAGGAGCAAGAGGTACGTCTTGATCATAACCAAATTGTCTCATGACTCTTTCTAGATAGTAGCATTTTAGACTCCACATTCCTCGCCATGTCATGCACGGCATCATGGATGGTGTGATCACCACCAACATTTCTAGATGACTTGAGCTCCCCATGGTGAACTCCACAATCTGATTCCCAAGGACCACTGGGAGTGTCTTGTCAAAAAGGCTCACCTCGGGCGGAGCAAATGTCCCTAGCATTGTCTTGTATGCTGGAAATTAAAGTTGCCATAGTCGTCCAGAAAGCCATCAACTTCCTGGACTATCTGTCCTTTTATTTTCCTTTTTCCTATCCAAGAACAAGCTAACAGAGCTGTTCCGTTGGTGTAACCACACTTCGCCATGGGATATTCCTTCAAAGCTTTCCCACTAGTAACACAGCCAAAGTGATATGGACGAAATCTCTCCCATGCAAACATTTGCAACAAAGACAAACATACATGTGACTCAATGATGTAATAGCTAGCACCAAGGATCTCATCAAAGTGGAGCAAATCAAGCATGTGATAGAGCGTACCTAGCATCAGCGAGGCTAAAGGGAGCTTCACACCTTCGACCAATCGAATTGCTAGAGGAATGCACTTAGCCATAATCTCGTGGCTCAAGAAGCCCCCAAAGACAAACTTACTCAACCAAGATGTAAGGCAAGTTGCACGTACACACAGACTAACTTTACCTTCACATGTTCAAAAGTATCGCATCCAAGTCAAAAAATCAATGCTATACTCTCCCTTCCATGAGCGAGAAGAGGCACCGGCGTTCTTCAGCATCACCTTCTTCAAAGCTACTAGCGTGGCACGCTCCTCTAGTGTTAACGTTATGTGCCGTGGATCCTCTTCCCCAATAATAGGCAGCAACATCAGATTCGCCACGTCTTCCAGAGTCACAATAACCTCCCGAAAAGCAAGGATAAAAGTATGGGTACTCATGCACCACCTCCTCACAAGCGATGGTGGCACTCCACATTACCGTTGATTTGCAAAGTCTGGCTCAAAGCTATTGACTTAAGAATTTTGGTAGCACGCAATATCTCTAGAAACTGTTCTTGGCAAGCATCTCCCTAGCCCAGCCCAACCAATCTTCCAGCTTACCGGACGGGAAAGCAAAGTGGATTGGCACCAGCAACAATCTTGCCTTTCAAGCCTTGCCCGCATTACATCGCGTGGCGAAGGAAACCATGTTGTACTGTTGTCACTACCCTTAAAAACCTCAAGCAGAACTAAATCTTTCTACTTCTCGAGGACCCTCTTTGTTGACCAAGTATTGAATTCCAAAAAGTGATCCTGAAAAGTGTACAATGGGTCGCGGTACGGCTGCACTCCGTCAATCGGATAAGGGTCGGCCATCTTTTAAGGCTTTCTACTAAAAGAAAGGAGGAGACAAAACAAAGATTTGGTTTAATGGAAGCACAAAAAAATCTGCATTATGCAACCATACAAAAAAAAAAAAAAAAGAAGCAGAGAAATAAGGATCCATCATTACCTCGATTGCGAAAAGGATTCCGGCAAATTTGCGCACTAGATCAACCTTCTCGAGAAGAGTTTGGTCACTTTATTGAGGAATCCAAAAATTTGATGGGAGAAGATGGTGAAAATCGGGGACGCAGAAGAAAGAGAGAATGATTCAACGATTTTGTGAAAAAAGGAAGAATGGGAAAACCGAAAGACTCACTAAGGAAGGAGGAGAATGACAAAAAGGGAAATTAAGGGCCATATTAAGTGCACTGGCCAACCACTTCACCACTTGTCACTCATCAACATGGCCAGCAATTGTTGAAGGGACGATAAGTAAGGTGCACATTGTATTGATGCATATGCATGCATACTATCTCTTTTAAAATCTCCCCTTTTTATGCGTCATCATAACAGGATTTTTGGGGAAGGTTCAGTTTCTTTATCTTTTTTCAAAAGCAAAGTTACTTTTGCTTTTTAACTATTGAAAACCTCCCTGGGGAATAGTTTCGAACTTCCGTTCATATTTGAACTGCAGTGAACAATTTTTTTTTTTTTTGAAAAAGTCTACAGTGATTGCTCATAACGTATTATTTTTCCAAGAAGAAACACAGTGCATCCCATGCGAGAATCTTGGCAAGGACATGGCCGAAAGCTTGTTCACTAGATTCATATCTACAACGGTCGGAATCACTATTGCTTAGAATTTTACTTCGGCCTTGCTTGGGTCACATCCGTGTTGAGACCCCGTCAATAGCATTGAGGCCCACGCCTTACTCATCAGTGGTAGCCAAAAGTCATACTAGACTCGCCTATGCTTATTATTGCTTTACATGGCCAAGCTTAACACAACATAGCCTCTATCGAAGTCATTCCACCGTTAACAGCTTACCGGGCTGGAGCTAAGTCCTTTAAATCGCATATGCTTTGATAGGGGAATCCACATTGATTATTTGATTTCTATATCGTTCAAGTAGGCTCATGGTCATATGGAGGATGCCTTGGTGATTTACCTCCCTCAATGCCAAGCGACCAAACTTGTTGTCACAACTTCATCTGCTTGGGGGGTAATGTTGAAGGATGAGTTTATATGGTTACATCACCAATGACGTGCATGGATCCACATCAACAAGGGCTTACAACATTCACTTCCTACATTGGACATGTAGTTCCTACTTTCTATTAATTGTTGTAATGGAGTTGACATCGCTAGAAGCAGCACTCAACATTATTCTCTTATATATTGCCAGGGGTGGCATTTACCCACTTCACTGGGAATGACACAAACATGTTCTACTTCAGTAGCATTCTCTTACACATGGCCAGACACGACCACATTATCTACGCAACACAACTGAGCATTTTTTACAGTCATGTCCTTTGTAGTGATGTTTACTGCTACATATTTTAGCTCACAGTAATGGATAAAGAACCAATTTTGCTGCATAGTTCCCATCAATGGACAATGAGCTAATCTTATTATATCTACATAGCTCCCGGCAATGGACAAAAGGTTAGATTTATTATTTCATTTAGCTTCTAGCAATGGACAAAAGGCTATACATTTCTACATATTTTCATTTCATTGGCTCTCGACAATAGACAAAGGGTCAAATTTTCACATATTCTATCTCATTGGCTCCCAGAAATGGACAAAGAGTTAGTGCAACTCGGTACAATTAGCATGAGGGCAGTAACAGTTGCAACCCTACAATCGGATAAGATGGCTACCCTCTAACAATAAAAATCCATCAAGTAACAATCGGTGGTCCTTTGGTGGTGCGGTGTTCGACGGGCAACAACAACCAGGACCACCTTTTCACGGTGTGGGTACGGTAAGAAGGGCCAATGTTTTTCAGTGGTATCACACCTTGTCATATCAGAGGCCATGAATGCGGCTGGCATCCTTCTTCCATAAAGACAACTCCACCTTTCTTTATACATATTCATGGCTATGGCATAGTCTGGTCTAATGAGATTTACCCCTTCATAGCTTGGCGGATTAATGGGAGCGCTCTTCTGATTCCACATAGTTCACGCTTCAACCATGGGCAAAGCTAGTCACTGTTGTCCCTCTAGTTATGAGGAAGCTATGCATGGCTAACCCCACAATACATACATAACATGGCCAGAGGTCATGCACATAGTCAGTCTTTTACACAAAGGGACAAAATTACCAATCGTTGGTAATCCCGATTCATAACACATATTTTCTATATTTTACATGTCAGCAGGTATTGTTGGCCAATGAAGCTTGGCTAAGGACAACGATATCGCAGTACACACCCATACCATTTATTCCTCATTCTGGTGCAATGCAAGCCATGCACAACAGCAATATACTAATGTTGGCCATGACCAGTAGGCAAATGAGAGCAATGAATATTCATTCACATAGTCCCCTTCAACACATGAGGCAGTTTTCTTCTTCGCTGCATATGCTTATATATTTCTTATTCTTAAATATCTAAACATATATTCACATGTGCCTTGTTGTTACTGTAGATAAACACAAGCCCATTAATCCAAGCTCATGGGGATTATTTGAGATAAATTATGGAAGTAGTGGCTTGGTAGGCATGGATGGACGAATACTAGCCGTCTGGCGAAACAAGGCATCCGCACTAGCAAAGCTTGGCGCTGACAATGCTGCCCAACTTCGCCAGAAAGAGGTTAGGTGGCTAACGCATGGAAATGAACTTGATTCTTGGAACAACACCGTTGGATGCTAACCAAAGGCTGGAAATCTCTCCAGAATCTAATGAGAGGCGCTGTATTGGTCATCATCAGCCACTTACAGCCATATTTAATGTAAGAGTGGCTACACAAGTTCCATGGCCTTGGAAACTGCTATAAAAGATTATTATCTACTAGAAAAATCTTCCAAAATCTTGCGCAGAGCCTGGGGAACTCACCAAATCTTGTGCAGATGTTGTTTTTGCCGGTTGCACTCAAGCACCTCCCCAAAGATGAGATTTCGTATGGCTGGGAACGTTGTCGAAAATATGCAATTTCCAGTTTCTTTGCCAGAACCAATAAAACTTCACTGGGACCGTTGGGCAATTCATAATGCCACTGTCACAGAGTTGCCAATAGTGCCTGGAACCACCAAAAATTTGTTAGCTCACCCTATCCTTTCTGAACACTTCCAAGTCACCAACAAGAAATTACAGTAATACCACTGCATATATATATAAATTATCTTCTCTTCATTTAAAAAAAAGGAACAGAGAGAGATAGAGAGAGAGAGAGAGAGAGAGAGAGAGAGAGAGAGAGAGAGAGGCGTGTAGCATAACAACAAACTTACAAACCAAGACTCTCATTTTTCTCCTCCAAAGAAAAATAGATCCCATCTTCAACCCACTGCTTTGCACGTAGGAATCACCCGTAAACCACCATTTTTCTCGAGTTATCAATGTCTTTGGTTCTGTAGAGTATTTTCCAACTTTGCAGAATATTTTCTAGCTTTAGAAAGTATTTTCCAACATCGTAAAACATTCTCCAGCTCTACAGAACACTTTTTGGAATTGTAGAATATTTTCCAGCACTATACAATATTTCCAGATTTACAAGATATTATGGCCAAGGAACAACATGCTGCAATTTCAATTTTTGGATAGTTTTTCTTAAGCATCAAACGATCAAGGTCACAAGGTTAGCATCAAAACGAGATCAAGCGTTCCATTCGTAAGCTCCCAAGTGGTCACCCTTCCTTCTCTCATCACCACTCTCAAGTTTATCCCTCTTGCCTTTGGAAGAACCTCAAGATTGGAATTGTTGTACTCTTCATTTTCAATATGAGGATTGTTCGTTATAGAGTAAAAATCTATACTAGGGATGAAATAGGTCACATTTATTGTCGTTATTATCATGTTACAATGATTTATGTATGAGTGTGATTCTCAAGTTGTAATCTTTGAGCCATATTTATTTCACATCTCTGTTGCCTTTCCATAACAACGCACAACCTCTCTCCATCAAGTTTTTGGTAGTTGTGTGATCACCTTGAATCCTTGGAATCCCACCATTGCTGCCCAGCTCTACCGGCTTGGCTGAAAAGTTCATCTTTTAGAAGCTTTTGCTGGAAAGTGCATTGCGAGATATCATTACCCAACGGAACGGAATGGCCCGTAACATGTAGCCTCCTACACATGAGACGGGTGTCGCCGAAAGAACCCCCCTCATTTTCTCGGGTGTCATCCTAGTCAGCTTCCACGTCACCACCACTATTGACTCATCCACCTACATCACCAACACCCCCAAACACTTACCTTACTTACCCTTTCCTCTTTCAACCTTGGTAATAAACCATTCCACTTCCAAACCATGTGGATGTAACACCATGAGTTCCCAAGTTGATCAAAATTTGTGGGCCACTAATAACAAACCCTTTCACAAAGCTTTCTCTTTTTTTGGATCCCTACTTGCTTCATGAAACTACCATGTTTTTGGTAACCTTTTTAAAAGAAAAATGAGGCTTCTTGCTCGACTTGAGGGCATTGAAAAAGCCCTTTCCCTCCACAACTCTCATAACCTTATTCTCCTTCAAAAGGACTTCATTCATGAATATCAACTATTTTGCATGAGGAGGAAGACCTTTGAAAAATGAAATCTCGCATTATGTGGCTAAATGATGGGGATTGTAACTTTAAATTCGCACACTTAAGTGCCATCTCTCGAAGGAAAGTTAATAGAATCCTTTTCATTCGTGATGATAATAATAATGAGATTGTCTCCCCTATTGACATCCATGACTTCATTGTGGCCTTTTTCAAAAATCTGTTCACATCCACCAAATCCTCGTCCCTTGACCATTACCCTTAATTCAAACTGGTCCCCATCTCTCTACTTTCTTCTTTTAAACCCATCTCTTTGCTCAATCCCCTCTGAGCAAGAGATTCTTAAGACCTTTATATCCTTGCACTCATTCAAAGCACCAAGCTATGATGGCTTCCATGCCATATTTTTCCAAAAATTTTAGGATGCTATTAAATATAAGGTTTGTGTTGCTATCCAATCTTTCTTTACACTTGGTGTGCTTCTTGAAAACATCAATCAAACTATTATTGTCCTCATTCTTAAAGTCTAAAATCCTTCAACTATCTCTCATTTTTGTCCCATTAGCTTATGCAACACTATCTATAAGCTGTGCTTCAAAACTTTTATCACCCACCTTAGATCTTTTCTCCATACCCTTATTAACCCTCTCTAATCTAGCTTTATCCTAGGATGACAGGCTGTTGATAATGTCATCATTGCATTAGAGCCCATTTCCTCAATACATCAACGACAAGGGAAAACCAATGTAATGGCTATTAAAATTGACCTTAACAAAGCTTTTGATAGCCTTGAGTGAGACTTTATTCACAACTATCTTTGCTATTTTGGCTTTCCCCCCAATGGATTAACATGATCATGAATTGTGTCACCACCACCTCCATTGCTGTTTGAACTGGCTCACTTTCAAGTGACGTTCAGCCCTCTCAAGGCATCCGACGAGGTGACCCCATCTCCCCTAGCATTTTATCTTTTGCATGGAGTATTTAACTTTCTTGATTGAACAACAATGCCATCTTGTATCATGGAAACCCGTCAAAGCTTCTCACAATGGTCCATCTTTCTTCCATATCTTTTTTGCTGACGATATCCTTCTCTTTGGAAAAGCTAATCTCTCTACTACCATGGCCATTAAAACCATGCTCGAATCCTTCTGTTCTTGTTCAGGTCAATCTGTTAATTTCAGAAAATCCAAAATTCTCTTCTCACATAATACTGATCAAACTAATTGTATTCACATTTGTTTTGTTCTAGGATTCGAACAAATTGTTAATCTTGGGAAGTATTTAGGCATCTCTATTTTGAACTCTCCAACATCTAAGAGGAGTTTTAACTTTATTTTAGATAAGCTAAGAATAAGCTTACCAATTGGAAATCCAAATTCCCTAAGGCAAGTCATCTTACCCTTATCAAGTCAACCCTTTGTTTTCTCCCCCTTCATGTTATGCAATGTTGCCTTCTACTTGCTTCCACCACCAAAACTCATGATAAAATTGTTTGTGACTTCCTTTGGCTTGATGACCCTAATAAGTGAAGAATTCATCTTATTGGGTGGGTGTAATACCCCCAAATTTTCAAGAACATTAAAGTTGAGTTAGGGACTTAATGGTGAGGAAAGGTTATTAATGAACCTAACAGCCAAAATTTTCAAGTTTCAGGGGGTTAAAAAGATTTTGGATAAGGCCGGCTGACTTTTTCTTTCTTTCTTTTTTTTTTTCTTTCTTTCTTTCTTCCTTCCCCAGCCATTTTCGCGTGTCTGCTCTTGCTTTTCTCCCCTGCAGTCAAAATGAACCCAGCCATCACCGACGCCCCCACCTGAGGAATTGGTAAGAGAATTTGATGATTTTTGTTCTTTTCTTGTTCAAGAACAAGTTTAGGACTTAGAAATCTTCTCCCCTGCAGAAAATTTTCCAGATCTGCTGTTTTCTTCCTCCTTTGTCGTCGGTTGTTGCTGCGTGTGAACTTCGGTTTTTCCTGGTAAAAATCAGCCATGAATCTCCTCTTTTCAGCCTTGATTTATGTGGGTTCACTCTAATTTTCATTTCTTTCAATGGCTAGTAGTCCCCGTGAAAGCCCCCCAATTTTTTCGCCAGCTTTTCCCCATACCCGCCAACTCCAGCCTTGCTTGCTGAGAATTTCTGGTAGGTTGGCTTCTCTAATTTTTGAAATTGGTTGATTAATTGTTGCCTTGTGAGTTTAATTGGTTGTATGGGTACCGGTGTTGTCCAAAAATCTACTAGAAGTAGGGGATGAATTCCAGCAGCCTTGAAATGAGTTTTAAGTCAAATTATGTATGAAATCCTTTAATTCGGCGGCTGTGATGTTGTATGAAATAAATAAATAAATAAATATTTCCTTGACTTAGCCATTTTTGTCAAAGCCGGTTATCCCATTTCCTGTCCATGAATTCGGAAATTTTGTATATGTGTAATTATGTATATATATATGTATGTATATATATATAAATGCACAATTTATTGTTGTGTGCTCAAATTTCAGATAGAAGAAAAAAATAAAAATAAATAATAAATAAAGAAATAAAATTTCTTTATAGGTATTAATTCTGAAATATTGTGATTAGGTTCTTGATTGCCCT